GTTGTCATTATTATCATATGTACAAAAACAGAAAAACCTTGGTAATATATTGTTAACTGCTGTTTCTTGCTCTTTTTGCGCTCGACAGCCTTGGATAACGTTATATCAATGACGATATTGTCTCTCGTGTGGAAAAGAATATTTCCGTACACAATAGCGAATTTGTCGGACTTGATTTGTTATTATGAGAATAACAAAAAAAAGAGGATGAAAATGAGGAGGAGTGGGAAAAAATTGTATGTACACGTTTCTACTCGAACAACATTGAGATATAAGGAAAAAATAGATACATAGAATTGATTCGATGATAGATTATGCTGAAGAGAATGTTTCTATTTTGAAAACTAATGTTGTTTATGAAGATAGATGTTTTTTTTTCGAAATGTTTTTGCTACAAAATATTACAGATTTTGAGTTAATGGCATGGAAACCATCAGAGTAAATATCTTGCCAGATAATAAACCTTGTTTTTATTATTATTATTAAGTTCCAATGAATGTATACTTACTAATACACGTATTATTTATTGAACTATAAATATGACAAGTTTTTTAATGTCGTTCGATTTGAAGAAAATTAAAATTCATAAACGATAAAAAACAATTTCAATTATTCAATATCATAAAACACGAACAACTTTTTTTGTTATACAAAAGTATGCATGCAACTAGTAAATCCTTGATTTTGTTTTTCAATATCTATTCGATAATAATACTTGATTAGATTCATTTTCTTTCTTCGTTGTCGTAATCTTTTCAAACAAATATTTAACTGGAGTTGTAGATACATTTTTTGATTTAAGTTCTTTTCTTACGAGAGAATTATTCGAAATTACACTCGGTGTTTGAACTTATGTTGAATCTAGCATAGCATCTTGATGAGACTAGCAAAAGTCTTAATGATTCCATCAATATAGACTTTTGAAGCTGAGTTATGATCTTTCTTACTAAATTTTGAACTCTTTTTTTTCCAGGTATATAACGGAAAATAAAAAAAAAAATGGAATTTCGATCTAAAATATTGCCCATGGTTACATTTAATGATCCATAGAATATTCTTCAAAGACTTAATTAAAAACAATGAATTCAATATCCTATACGATAACATCCTTATTGGTTGAAACTATCAAAGTTTCATTTGTTTTTAGTTTTGCAGTAAATGGCTAGAAAATTCAATAAGACAATCATAACTTAGTCGGAGACACTTATGACAACGTATTCCTTTTAGACTTTTGCTAGTCTCACTAAGGCGCCCATGTTGTTCTAATATAAGCTTAAACGGCAGGTATCAGTTTGCTTGATATCCTTGATAGTTGTCTTAATATGTTTGATACAAATGAAGGATAGATGTTTGTCTAGTACTAACCTATCAGTATTATCTAATCTTTTTGAAGCTGATTTTATTAGTGATAAATTAATTGTATCTAATCAACGAATAATCAAGTTCATCTATTGTAATAGATTGAGAAGTTCACAGAACATGTTTAGCATATAGTTTGTTGTTGTCAATCGTCGATCATTACTTTATTTATTTAGTTGGATCAATTACATCGAGAAGATGTGATTTATTTGAATAGTGTTTCAAGCTCTTATATTTTTCTTTATTTGACATGAAAATTTTCAATTAATTTTGTTTCTTGAGAATGTTATTTATTATTATTCATAGTATAAATGTTGTTCATTTTCCTATAAATCTAATTTTGAGATATATGTTTTCACTAGTTTCAAGAGAATGATAATGTTCATTAGTATTGATGTCTGTAATTTTTTTGATGATAATTATTCATGATTATCATCAATGAATATTTAATACAAAAGATTTTTGTCTTTGTTTGATAATGATTGATTTGTGCGTGCAAACATGAGCAATGGTATGGAGTAGCATGAAATCGTTTCGTGGATCTCTAATTTTGTGAAGATCTTGTGCAATTTAATAGAAATAAATATTAACATTTTCAAGGAATTAAAGAATCAAAACAAATCAAAATTTATATCATAATACACAGCTGTTCAATATAAGTGTTTAGAGTACAGTCAAGCTAGTTAGACTTCAAAACCATTGGTCGATCGATAGAATAACCTGTTAAGAAATAAAATATATTTCTTTTCATTCGACTTGTCTAAGTTTGTTTTATATAAGATTAATAGGTTTTTTTCTGCCATTTCGCTTCAAGACATTTTCTAGTCGTTGTCACTCATAGAGTCGATATATATATTCAACTTGGAAAGTATTAGTCAATAGCCATTGTTCATATCTCGCTAGATAACTTAGTTGAACTGCTTCTGATATTCATATTATAGTTTTATTATAAACTGTATATGTTTCACATAGTGATAAGACTTTCGTAAACGAGAATCTTTTAATGAGTATCTGATAAGTTCAAGTACAATGTCATATGATCGATAGGAAATCATATGTATGAGAAATTAAATATGTACTAAGCTTAATGAAAAAATATTTGTAAAAGCAATGAAATCTTCCATTCCGCTACAATAATATAATAGATGTCACTTTTACAGTTTATCATGAGAAAAATATTTCATCGGTATAACTACAAAACAATCAAAGCTATTGTGACCTGCAATTATAATAGTGCAATGTCGATAAACGATCTTATTCGAAGATAGTGAATTCGGTTGACATACATCAACATACTCATCAACATCTATCAACAACGAATAGTACTTATACTCGATTCATTTGTAATAATATTAAATGAGTGACATCATAGTGGCTATAGGTGCATTATTATATAGTTGATTGGTGAATTCTTGCGGCTATTTACTATATGCGTTGATATAGATCAATTTACATTTACACTGGAAGCTAGATTACGCCATGCAATATTTTGAAAAGCAAAGGAAAAATCATCAACTCATTGTAAACAAACTATATCTAAATATTGTTCAGTTATAGATTCAATAAATGCTGAAATATCTGTACAATAAGGTACAAGACATGGAGCAACGTTATCAATAGATTTATCAATATAAATTAATATAGATTGAGCCTGTTTTCGATGTCGATAACAATGTGCGTTGTTCCTTTTTTCGATATTTACTTTAACATCTATCGTTATGGTAGGCTTCAGATCATTTAAATCTTTTACTGTAACTTTATAAATATTTAATTTGATATATTCTTACGAAAAAAAAAAGAAAAATACTCAATTATAAAATGAAAATGAGTTGTAAAAAAAGTATAACACATTTATTGCTACGGTTATTAAAATACTCGAAGAATCATGAATGCTTTGCTGTGAAGAAATGCATGAGTGATTCAATCATTTTACAATATGTCAAGCAAATAATTAAAACACAATAATTAAAGATCGGTGTAGTCTAGAGTCTATAGTAATTATAGAAAAATCAAATAAATGTCGAATAAAAGGAAACACTACATATTTTGAAACACGATCTAAAAGGAGATTGTTGAAATATAGAGATAGAAATTTGAGTCCCTCGGCTCTCCAAGGTTTCTCGAGAACGGCTTCACGAAAACTAATGAAACTTGATCGGTATATAGATCTCGATAAGTTGAACGGAAGTTGTCATCGACTCAAAGTTCTTTCAGGAAAATACGAACTTCACAAAGGCTAAGAATGATCAGCAGTTTTTCCCGCAAAACTTTATACTTCATTTTTTCGAGCTGAAATTTTTTTATGAGAACTTGGATCAAATAAAGGTGTGTGTTTGTTTTATTTTCAAAAATATCGTACCTAGAGCTCACGAGAAGCAAAATACTGAAAATACCATCAAAACATGTGTTCTTTTGAATAGTACTAATTTTTTAAAGACTGTCGAATGTCATAGGAGCAACATTTGCAGAAGAAAAGCTTAAATTCAATCAGTCGTACCGCATAAAAGAAAATGGGAGAAAACTTTGTTTTTTTTTGTTCAAAACTTGGTTTTCAGAAAAATACAAAGCAAAGTAAACTTATGTTTTTTTCTTCGCATGAACCATTTTCGCTCATTTTCAATTATTACAGATTATATTTCATAGCGCCTCAAATTTACGTTTATTATCTTCAAATCTTTCTTTAAAATCTAATCAACTACTTCCAGCATATGTGCATTCATTACTAAAATGCTAATCTGTCAAACGAGGTTGCCACCTAAAAAAGATAGGCTTTTTTCAAGATAGGAATCCTTGAAACTAAGCTGTCTAAGTACTTACGCAGTTGGACACAGTTCTAATTTTTAAAGCACTTAATACAAAACGCTTCAATAAATCTATAGAAATGATAACCTCAAAGTCTGAAAAAAAAGAACTTTTCGAGTAATTAAACAAATGTCTCATTAAGTTACCAACGCCAGCCGTGATAAACACATTAGCAATGACTACACATTCGCTGGAAAATATTGTGTTTAATATCGTTTATCAAGGACCTATATTGATAGTAGATAGGAATTTATCAACGGAAATATATATTGACCAATTCCCTCTTTTACAATATCAATAGCTCCGTCATGTTTTACATTTCAATTTCATAGAGATAGCGCTAACAGCTTTTGTTATTGGCATTTAAAAAAAAGCCTAATTATAACCAAAAGTGTTATCTTTTCTGCATTGTTGATGATCTTTATCTTTATTGATAAATATTTATTTGTCTTTTATTTCATATAAGAAAAGCAAAATATTTGGTTAAGCTTCATCAATAGCGGAATTATCTGTATTTATTAAATGATCATAAATTTTAAGATACCCTATATACATAAATAAAATTAAAATTTTGCCGAGGTAAATGTCACCTAATACTCACATGTATTTACAGACAAAAACAAAGGAAAAAAATTCATTAGTAAAAAGATAATAACACAAATGGGCACAAAATTGAAGAATACAATATAGATAAAGAAAAAAAAATTGTTTTGTTTGTTTTTGTTATTTGATATTAACACGGGCATGCAATATTATACAATACAAACAGTACAGAATGATGAAAAGAATTAAAAAAAAAAGAAAACAAACAGAGAAATTTGTAGCACACCTTTGGATAGTTATACATCGAGAACACTACCTTGACTCTGACGCTTATATCCAAGACTTTCTTCATATCTTTTTTCTTGAATTTCTTCGAGTCGTGATCGAAATTCAACAATAACTCGGAACTAAAACAATAACAGAGAACAATTTATAAAAACAAAAAGAATAATAATCAAAAAACAAACCTCTGAATTAAGACGATCAACACTTTTTCGAAGCATATATCTAGCAAATGCTGGTGGTGGTTCAGTAACAACTGTTGCATTAGTTAATTGACCAATTGTAGAATATTTTGTAAATACTTCACCAGGAACCACTCGATCATGTTTACGAATCTTTTTCGCTGGTCGTTTCTTTTTAGGTTTACCATCAGCTTTTCCATCTTCTTTTTCTCCTTCTTCTTCTTCTTCTTCTTCTTCTTCTTCTTCTTCTCCCTTTTCTTTTCCTTCGTCATGTGTTCTCTTTTTTTTCTTATAACAACACGGACAACAAATACGATATACAGCTGAAAAACATTTACTAAAGGGTTTAACTGGGATGAATAAAAGAATCTAAATAATTAAAATTCATTTGTAAGAATAAATTTAGAAATAATCAAATTACAAACCTGTTGCCATATGAGTGATCCAACACCGAAAAGTAAACTCCATGCCCATTGTTTAATATCTAATCGTGCACAACTAAAAACTTTATTACCAAATGTAACAATTAAAATCTAAAAAAACAGTTAATTTACGAATATAAATTTTTCTATTTTATCTCTTTTCTTACTTGTGCAACAAAACAAAATAACCAAATACCATAAAAAAATGGATTTGTAAATATTCCTTTAAATACATTTCTTTCACCATGTAATTTTCTAGCATTAATTTCATTAAATAAAGTCATCAATACAAATGCATTAAATACCATTGTAAATTGTTCACTTAAATCTTTTCTGGCACGTGGATCCTTTTGAATATCGTCAACAGTTGATTTAACATCCAAAAAATATGGTCCGGCATAAAGTATGACAAACATAACAACAAGTTGATAAAAAGATTGACCAAGAATATTACGTAACATTAATGGTGATATGATTGATTTTGTACGACCGTAAGGTTTTCGCTTTAATAATTCTTCTGTTGGTGGTTCTGTAGCTAATGCTAATGATGCTAACGTATCCATAACAAGATTAACCCAAAGCATTTGAACAGCTCGTAATGGAACACTCTAGAAAAAGAAAAAAAAATATTTTTCTAAATAAGAAAAATTGTTAACACAAAAAAATATGAAACACGATTGATCTGTGTCTATTTTAAATGAAAGAATTCCCCGAAATCTGGCTGAGTCCAGAATCTACAATGAACTGATGTGTCTATGATGAAAGTTATTATGCCGTATATGTTACAGTACTCTTGGAAAGGGGGACAAAGATAAGTATCTAATTTCAATCTTCTTTCATAATAATTTCATAGAAGACTCTAGTTCTATGGTTACGTCTGCTATAGCCTGCAATGGACGAGGATGTTGTTAAAGTATTTATTACGCTCTATATGAAATCCTGATTTTTTACCTCTATGCCTCAGTACTAGAAGTGTGCGGGACCAATTTTTTCGTTCTCGTTGCGATAGCTATTTTTTCACCGACTCCGGTCATAATCCCAGTTGTGGAGGTTCAAGTTTTCTTGGTCTTAATTTCGGTTTAGGGAAAACAATATCAAAACTCTTCAATGTTCGTTTTTTGATTTATTTGGTCGACGACTAACACCTTTCCAGTCATCTTTCTATGTTTGTTTTCTGATTGATATGACATATAAGATAATTCACTTAGAATTATAGTATATTTAACTATAATCTTTAGTTTCAGTTAGAACAAATTATTTTTCATAGTCTTGATGTCACACATTTATATTGAAGTCTTTGTTTTTAGATCGTGTTTCATCAAAGTAATGAAAAAATAGATCATACACTAATAGCTGCAGCTGAAATAACTGATATAGCACCAGCTGATAGATTAGCAGTAAGTTGAAATTGAAGAAACTTTGCGATACAATCATAAACATTTCGTCCCCACATCATTGCTTTGACAATCGATGAAAAATTATCATCAGTTAAAATAATATCCGATGCTTGTTTAGCAACATCTGTTCCTTGAATACCCTAAAATATGAATAAACAAATTATAGTTAATTTATATTCAATAAAACATTTTGATCTGTTAATATATTAAAATTAGATAAGATAACTTTTATTTTTCCATTTCAAAATTATACTCCGGACTAACATAGAATATGTATGAAGATTTCATTGATACTCAAAAATTTATTTCTCAAATCGTATTGTTACTGTTCTTCATAAATGTATATAGGTCGTTTTTGTTAGAAATATTAAATTTTAGACACTTATGGGCCCTGATTATTCCGATGATGAATGACTGTATTTACAAATACTCTGATGATTGAAGGTAAAACTTGAAACTATTTTCTTATTATGTACTGATTCAATACATATCTATATACAATTGGACTGTAGAATCTACGATAGAAATTTTCTCTTTGAAAAATTTTACAAAAAATTCATAGAAATCTAAAAGTAACCAATTCATTTGTTTTTATTTACCATAGCAAATCCAACATCAGCACGTTTTAATGCTGGTCCATCATTGGTTCCATCACCAGTGACAGCAACAACTTCTCGATGTTGTGTTACTTGACTTTCTACAATACCATTAACTAAATTATATTTATCTTGTGGTGATGAACGTGCTAAAACACGTAATTTTGGCCAAACTTCATCAAGTTTTTGTTGTGAAACCTAAACAAAATACAAATTTGAAAATAAATATTTAAAAACAAAAAAGAAAAAGAAAAAGAATAATTTGAAATTTTTAATTTTTCTTACCCTTCCTGATGAATCACGAATACGTTTATTGAATTCTTTTCCTTCAAGTACAAGAAAATCATCATTTGGTTTAATAATACCACATTTTGTTGCAATTGACCGAGCCGTCATTACATTATCACCTGTTACCATACGAACAACAACACCAGCTTTTTGACATTTTTCAATAGCCTCTGGTACCTAATTAAAATATGTATAGATTAAACCCAATAAAAAAAAAACAAAGTTATTTTCAAATCAACGTACTTCTTTACGAACAGGATCTTCAATTCCAACAATAGCTATACATATTAAATCATTAGTCATTTTATCTTCATCATCCCAATTTTGTGTTTCTTTGCCAAGATCTTTATATGTAATACAAATTGTTCTTAAACCATCATTAGCCATTTTTTCAATAATATCATGTGCTATTTTATTTTTTTCATCATCATTTAAATCCTTTGGTTGATTATCTTCACCAATAATTGATTTACATCTTTAATGAAAAATATTAAAAGTAAAGTAATCTATTCGAAAATTCTTACTTAGTTAAAACCATTTCTGATGCACCTTTTGTATATAATCGATAACCTTCATCACGTTGAATAATTGTACTCATCATTTTTCGTGCAGAATTAAATGTATATACTTTAACTAATTTATTTTCAGGAAATTTTTCACGAATTTTATCGTAGGATCCACCCCATTTTTGTACTAAATCAAGTAAAGCACATTCAGTTTTATTACCAACTTGTTTTGGTAAACCACCATCATCTTTTTTTGAATCCTAAATATAAAATTTGAGCAATAATTTCGAAATAATTGATCCTAACCTCTATTTTTGATGTATAATTTGTATTAACAGTTATAGATTCGAAAAGAAGATCTAATAAATCTTGATTATTAATTTCTTCAGGTTTCGGTATTTTTTCATGGTGTTTTCCTAAAAGAAAGAATATCTATATATAAATATACATGGATAATAATGAATTAAAAATAATTTAGAGAACGAAAGTTGACGACTGTGCAATGGACCAAGATCATAATACTGACCTACCAGTTATATAACAATGTACAACTGTCATTCGATTTGTTGTTAATGTTCCTGTTTTATCTGAACATATTGTTGATGCATTACCCATTGTTTCACAAGCATCTAAATGTCGAACAAGATTGTTATCTGTCATCATTTTCTATTTAAATGAAATACAATATTAATCAAATTTAATCATCATATTTTTACTACTAACTCGAACAGCATAGGCAAGAGCGAGTGTAACAGCTAATGGTAGACCTATATACACGCAAGACGAAAAAATATATAATTATATCATAAGTATTAAGTAAATGAATTAAACCTTCTGGTACTGAAACAACAACGACGGTAATAGCTTGAATAAGAAATGAAATAAAATAACTAACATCAGCTGCTTTGGCTTTTTGTTTTTTAAAAACATAGTTTGATAGACAGAAACGAAGAATTAAACATGCTAATGTTAAAAAGGCAGCTGCCATACCAATATAACCAATATTAAGAGCTAAACTTGTTAATTTTGCTTGTAGAACAGCTAAAATAGTTTTTTTTTAATATCAAATTATTTGTTTTTTGTTTTTTTTTACTTACATCTATGTTTACTAGCTTTTGATTCACCTTCTTCACCATCATCATCATTTTCAGCAGCTGCTGCTAATCCAGCTAATCCAGCGGGTTTCTCGTCAGCATCTTTTTTCGCATTTTGAGTATTTTCTTGTTTCTCTTCGGATTTATTTTTATCATCATTAGAAGCATCTTGTTTCACCGATGATTCTGTTGTTTGCTGGTTATTACCTTGTTTTTGTTCATTTCCATCTGATTGTTTCTCTTGTTCTTCACCATTACCATTATTTGAAGTAGATTTTTTCTTTTGTTTATCATCACTATTTGATTTCTTTTCTTGTTCATTATTATTATCATTGGTTTCTTTTTTCGTTGATTTCTTTTCTTGTTCATTATTATTGT